GTAACGTAAAGTTGAAATAAGTAGTTTAGAGTCAAACATATAAACAAAAACAAGATAGCGCATAAGGCAATAAGTTAAATTGACTTTTTAATCAAAAATATTATAAAAGATAGGATTAACAATTTAATCTTCAAATACATAAAATCCGTGTTCATGTATGCACAATAACAATTATTGCAGATACTAAAAAGCAATAATTTCACCGAAAAACCCTCCCGTTTTTAATTTCCTTTTTTCAAAAACCTGAATTTTCAGAGACTGTTAAGTAATTTCTTTAGAAGGCATATATGAAAACAACCAGTTACATTTATTTTCTCTCACAGTGTTTACATTTATATTTTCAGAGGTATCTTATGTTTACCAAAGAATAATAAAGGTTTTAAAATTTTTCAAACTCAAATTAAAATGAAAATTGTTTGAATACCATATAGTCTCTTTCACTAAATCATTCTTTTGAAAATGGTTAATTGATACAGGATTCACTGAAAAATTAAAAGCCTTCCAGAATATTCTATCACCTAGATCATCCAATTATTCAGCATGGATGAATAGAAGTTTACAAAATACTACTTAGCCATCATTTCTTCCTTGTTATGATTACACACTTCTTTAGGTCAAAGGATGTATTTGTGTAATAACTAGGAATGCAGATCTTGAAGTCAGACACACCTGAATTTAAATTTTACATTCAAATTCACATTCAAATTTCACATTCTTGCTGCTAAAAGTATAGTCTTTGTACCAGGAGCGTAAGCATTACCTTATGCTTGGTGGCTTATTAGAAATGTACTGTCTCTGTCCAGATCTACTGAATAAAAATCTGCATTTTAACAAGAGCCACGGGTGATCTGCATGCATATTAAAGTTTGACAAGCACTGGCAAACATTACTTATTAGATATATTTCCTTGGGCAAGTTTCAGGAACTCTCAAAGTCCCAGTTTCTTCATTGAAAAATGAGACTAATACTGGTGTCTCTACCATAGCATTATTATGGGAAATAATTCGATGATGCTACTTAGTAACCACTCAATAAAGTCTAACTGGTATTAAATTTTATCATCTACCTTAGATTTGTATATTCATGATGTTTTCCACTATATTTACCTATAAAATTATATTAGTGTCCCACCCAGAAGAAATAAAGCTCCTTTAATCCAGATGTCTCCCTGAGTATAAGCCTACAACAAAAATACAAGCAAATTAACAATGCCATCTTGCATTCATTTACAATACAATGTAGCATATGTTTTTCTATTAGCCTCAAAATATTTCTCTTTGAAATAATGTTTTCTATTTTTGTAGAATCAAAGAAGTTAAGCAAAGAATTTAGTTTGAAAACAAACATGAATCTGTCTCCCTGAAATAAAATGGAACTATTCTACACTTAATTAGCCATTGTGTCTTCAGTATTCTGTCACCACGTGCCTAAGATATTCTACTGATCCCTCACAAGACTCAAATAATGCACCAGGTGTCTTGAGCTTCCATCCCAAATGAGATATAAGAAAGTCTCAATAGGATTATACTTTAATCCAATTAAGGCAAGACATACACTATTTCATTCCACAACCTTTTTTAAGGGACTATGATGTCCAAATCACCTGCTTCCTACATCTAGAGGAAAAATGTAGACTGATAAAATCAATATAAATCTAATCATTTTCCACTGTCACCTGAATATTAATCACTTCAGTGGATAGCACCTTATTTTTATCAGGTAAGTTTTTATTAAAAACATTTACATAAATAAATGCTTAAAAGTTGTATTCTCATCTCCAAAATTGAAGATAATAATGCTTTGAATTTTCCAGTAAAGAAAGTTTATCTTCCTATGGATTACTCAATTATTATTATTTTTATTTATTCATTTATTTATTTTTATTTTTTTGAGACAGAGTCTTGCTCTTTCGTGCAGTTTGGAGTGCAGTGGCGTGGTCTCAGCTCACTGTAAACTCTGCCTCCCGAGTTTAAGCAATTTTCCCTGCCTCAGCCTCTGGAGTAGCTGGGATTACAGGCACCTGCCACCACACCAAGCTAATTTTTGTATTTTTAGTAGAGACGGGGTTTCACCATGTTGGCCAGGCTGATCTCGAACTCCTGACCTCAGGTGATCCTCCCAACTCGGCCTCCCAAAGTGCTGAGATTACTGGAGTAAGCCACTGTATCCGGCCTCAGTTATTATTTTTAATTAAATGTTTCAACTTCTAGCAACATGGCATAACAGAATTTCCAAGCAACATACCTGCTACACTACAACAATATCTTGGATACTTGAAGAAGCATAATATAAAGATTTAGAAGTATCTAAGAAAGCATAGAAAATTTATGAGGGTCAAGATATTTATAAAACATAGTAAACAAAAAAATCTGAACTCTGAGTATTAAGTAAATAGGAAATTCAGAGTTGTATTGAGACAAATATCCATAAATATACTGAAATCTATACAATAAGAGGAACCAGGCTAGGCGCAGTAGCTCATGCCTGTAATCCCAGCTCTTTGAGAGGCCAAGGCAATAGGATCACTTGAGCCCAGGAGTTAAAGGCTTGCCTGGACAACATAGGGAGACCTCATCTCTATAAAAAATTTAAAAACTAGCCAGGTATGGTGGTACATGCCTGTAGTCCCAGCTACTTGGAGGGCTGAGATGGGAAGGCTGCTTGAGCCCAGCAGGTTGAGGCTGCAGTGAGCAGTGATTGTGCACTGCACTCCAGGCTAGGCAATGAAGTGAGACGCTGTCTCAAAAACAAACAAACAAAGAATAAGAGGAGCTAAACTGAAGCTCCAGCATTATGTCTAACAAAAGATGTATAAGAAGTTTATGAAAAAAAAAATTGTTAAAGTTTATCAAATGGTGTAAAATACTGCTAAATGAGAGATACTATGTATAAATAGAAAGACAAAATATAATAAAAATATCAATTCTTCTCAATTTGATCTGAGTCAATATAATACAAATCAAAATCCCAGCAGACATGTTCCTGGATAATTATATGCTGAATCTAAAATTTAGATAAACGGTAAGAGTTTAAAAATACTCAAGATTATTCTGAAGAAGAATATAGTGAGGGACTTAGCCTATGTATTTAGTCTGTTCTCACACGGCTAATAAAGACATACCCCAGACTGGATAATTTATAAAGGAAAGAGGTGTAATTGACTCACAGTTCCACATGGCTGGTGATGCCTCACAATCATGGCGGAAGGCAAAGGAGGAGCAAAGTCACATTTTACATGGCAACAGGCAAGAGAACATGTGTAAGGGAATTCCCCTTTATAAAACCATCAGATCCTATGAGACTTTTTTTTTTTTTTTAGAGACTTACTATCATGGGAGCCACACGGGAAAGACCCACCCCCATGATTCAATTACCTCCCACCACATCCCTTCCACAACACGTAGGAATTATAGGAGCTACTATTCAAGATGAGATTTGGGTGGGGCACAGCCAAATCACATCAGCCTACTAGATATTGAGCTGGACAACTGGAGTTCACTAGGGGAAGGCAAACTATTTTATAAATGCCCTGGAAAAATTCCTTGGAAAAAATAATTTGAAATGCAGATTGAAATTATATACTCATATAACTTGCAAGTGGACTAAACACAAAAATGCAAAAGACAAAGCTTAGAATCAGGTAAAATGAAATATATTAAATTATGTGTATAACCTCAGGGTAGGCAAGGATTTCTTAAAGAAAACACTCTACAATACTAATAATTAAAAGAAATGTTGACTTTGCAATAAAATTAAGAATTTATCTCATCAAAAATCACAATAAAGGCAATGGACAAGGCATGCACTTGAAAAAGATGTTTGGGTCATATATAACTAAAATGAATTAGCATCAGGAATACATAACCTACAAATCAATATTTTAAATTACAAAAAAATTTCACTGAAGAGGAAACAATAAAGGTAAATGAATATACAGCAAAATGTCTCCTTCATTAGTGACAAGCAGAGGTACTATTTACACCCATTTGATTGCCTATAATTAAGCAGTGTAACACTTTCACATGTCGGCCAGAATATGTATCAATGCGGGCTCATATACAACTAGTGAAGATCTGAACTGATACAATTATTTTGGAAATCAATTGTCATATTTTATAAAGCTGACTCTGCGAATACACTACAATCTAGCAATTCTACTCTCCTGTATTGACCCTACAGATATTCTTGCACATAAGTACTATGAGACTTGTTCAAGAAAATTCAGCAGCACTATTCATAATAGCATTCATCTGGAATAATCCAAATAATTCACCTACAGAGACTAAATGAAGGAATTGAGATACATCCTCATAAAATAATATTTAACTGAAAGAATGAATTCAATCTAAGTGCAAACATACATATAAATCATACAAACATAATATTGATGGAGAAAACCAAGCAGCTGAAGACTACATACAGTGTGACATGAATTTGATAATGCTAAAAAGTAAGCAAACTAAAGAATAACTTGTTCAGCAAAGCATTTTTGTGGGGGAAAACTATTTTTAAAAAGAAAAAAATGGTAACTTGAATATCTAGCATTTTGGCCACCTCTAGCAGAGAGGAAGGGTGATGGAATAAGAGACTATACAACTAAAGAGGATGATAATATTCTGGGTTTTATATTGTGTAAACATGTTCAGTTATTATTATCTATCATGATGTACATACGGATTTAAACATGTTCAATTATTATCTATCATGATGTACATATGGATTTAGACATGTTCAATTTATTATTATGTATCATGATGTACATATGGATACATATAATCAATTAAACATATATTATTAAAATATAATAGTAATATAAACTAAAATTAGAAATATTTAGGGTTTGCAATTAAACCATAATATCTCATCTTTTATGAACATATCAGATGAACACAGTTACTAAGAAGAACGCATACCAAAGAAAACCCCTCAATAGGGCATGGAAATTAAATAATAGATAAGTAAGGAAAATAATAAAATGAGCAGATCCGATTTAAACTCACCACCAGGGCTTTAGATCTGTTGCTTAGAAGTTTCTCAATATCCCTGGCTGCAATTTCTACCAGCTGGCGTGCATTATTTGGTTCCACAGTATACAAATCTTGATATTTCTCATAAATCTATGTGAAAGAAAAAAAAAACAATAAGAACAATAGTTACTTATTTGGCTTACAAGTTCCCATTAGGATGTATTTAAAACTATAAACAACTGTTAGAACCACCACCCTGTTCTTTCTTTACATTGATCTTTTTGGAGTTTGAGTGTGTCAGGAAAAAATATGTAAATATAAATTTGCTCTAAGACCACCAGCTTGCCAAAACAGAGGTTATGTTAACAGGTTGTAAAATGTCTTGTACCACAATGGTTTGTACATGCAATTTTGAAGCTTGATGCTGCACTGTCCAATCTCAAAACTGGGTATTATCTGTCATCAGCATCGTAAGAGAAAGGGTAACATCCTAGACAACAGAAGGCAAAGTGGAGCATGGGAGGTCAAACCTGGAGGAGTGTGGAAAACAAAGGTAGGAGGAAGGGTTATGTGCTACAGAACGGAGAGAGAGAGAGAATACATATAAAGCCCCTGCCCATGTTCATCTAGATAATAAGAGGAGCTTTAGGGACAGTTCACATATAGAGGAGATGAAGGTCATTAAGGTTTTGGTTAGAACTGTAATGGTGTATTTATTTTTTATTATCAAAGTAAATGCCGCTGTTAGTTTTTAATCACTGAATTAAAGCACACTGAAATTAAGCTAGGTGCCAAAAGAAAAATTTGACTACCTTTCTGGCTCACCTTAGTGTCTATGGAAGGATTTCCCCAGAGTGGCATAAGCTGCACCTGTCTTACACAGCCTGTACACTCTCAGCAGGAGAGGAAGAATTAAAGAAAGGGTGGTTGGAGGGGAAGCAGTCACAGTGTTTGTGGCTGGAGGGCTGAGATGAGAAGGAAATCCCTCATGCATCCAACAGATGGGGTGCACATGCATGACTAAACCATCTTTGAAAGCCAGGACCTGGCAGGTTTTTACTGTCTTATGAGAAGTGAATCCAGGCACATACAGGAACCAGTTCAACCCTGCTTTTTTCTGGCACAACTCCAACATTCTGCTTTACTACCAACAGGTTCTACAGTATGATCCCAGCTGCACACTGGTAACACTGGTGCATACTGGCTTCTGATGAACACAGATACATACTGACATTTATTGACTACAGAGCATATTAGTTTTACATGGACTTACAATTTTTTATTTGAAATTAAAATTTATTTGAAATTAAAATTAATATTTTGTAAAGATTTAAATCCATTTTTACTCCTAAAAGTGACTCACTCACACTATGAGGTTTTTCCATACTCATGTGAACTTTGAACTTGTAGGTTTTCACTCAAAGTACTCAAGGCACGTTAATTTAGTGACAAAATCTCCATATTTGGATTCATCCAGGAGTCCTGCATTTTACTAGATTGCTTATGCTTTCTGCTAAGGGGCAGATTATTGAACTCTGTTTTTTTTTTTTTAAGACCCATGTCATCCATGAAAAACTTCATCCAATGCAAAGCTTTCTCTTTCATTTCAGACTAAGATAAGATTCAGGAATATTGATTAATTGATTTGGGGTACAAATAGATAAACTTCAACATCACTTTAATTGATCCAGGATACGTAGTTCTTTGCAGTAAAACCAATAGAGCTAATTGGTGTGAAATGTACTGTGCATTGTACCATTAATACCTTGTTCATTTCTCTATGCAGTCTAACCTCCTTCCTGTGGTATAGGGAATACAATACACTTCATAGGTGGAGATTAGTTCAGATGTGCAATCTATACTTCAAGTAATGTCATTTATTAAGTCTCTTCATACATGCGCCAGACATATTAATTGTTTGGTGCTTTAAGGAATAAATAGATTATAAGTACACGGAAACAATTTATTTCAAGTATGTATCTACTCAAATATATAAATTTATATCTCTCAAATTTCCTTTTAGGATAATTTTTAACTACTTAACAAAAACAAGATCTAACTCACAAATAAATGTGAAAAAAAATAAGTCAAGAAGCTTAAGTCTAGAACCCCCAGTGTAAATATCTGGATGTATTATTTTATATATAAAGCCACAACTGAAATGTTTTCTTTGGTAATAAAAATAAATTAAAATTATATCACTCTCCCCCAAAAAAACTAGCTCTTGCTTCTGGTTCCAAAGACTACAATCATCTTTGTTGTCATAAGAGCTATTGCAAAGCTCTCCTGATATATGTTTAGTAAATAATTTTCAGAATAGAAGGTTTCATATGGAGTTTTATGGTCACACAATATATTTTCATAATATGTGTATATTTCCAACTCTTTCCATCACTAAGACATATTTCTACAATATTTCATGTATTAATATTTCAAACACATCTTGAGGTATCTTTTCCTCTTCTTCAGCTTACTGTTTTGTAAATAATTATCTGCTTTGCCATTTTATTCAATTTCTTTCTTGAAGGAAAAATAGCACGGTGGAAATAATATGAGTTTTTGGCACCAGACAGAGTTACATTTCAATCATGTCAACTCTTCACAAGCTGTGCAATACTGGCCTTCGTTTTTTCTCTACTAGAAAGAATGTAGCATATAGAGAGAGTTCAAAACAGGATGCTTTTCCTCCTGATACACTTGTATGCTTTAGTTTTCCTACAGTTCAAGTTCTCCTGCTGCCACCCTGACCTAAGTCTTAACAAAAAGAATATTTGTCACCTGTACATTCTTCCTTTCCTACAATCTTAACCAACTGGCTTTAATGTACTTCCGTTGTAACATTCAAAGACCAAGTTTCTCTGTGATGACAACATAGATTATGGTTTGTGAGATAGGCAGAAAAACCATAATCTATGTTCTAAATATCTTTGTTATAATTAAAATAATATGTCAATTATGCTAATTAGCTATGTTAACATAATCTATGTTCTAAGTTACTTTGCTCTAATTAGGTCCACAGTTCCAAGATAATCATCACAATTATACATTTTAAAATAACTTCAAATGTAATATCTAAAAAATGATATTACTCAATGATATAATTGCTTAAAAAAATTCCTAAAGAAACCCCTTGGAAATCATAATACAGATGCCCCAGAAATATTTACTCAAAACTAAATATGCTTCCAAGCTTTTAGATGACCTAAATTTTTAAAAAAATTTTTATTAAAAAAAAAGTTTTTTAGAGACAGGTCTCACTATATTGCCCAGGCTGGGGTGCAATGGCTATTCACAGAGGCAATCATCCTAGCCCTCCTGGCCTCAGGTGATCCTCCCATGTCAGCCTTCCAAGTAGTTGGAACTACAGGTTCATGCCACTGCACCCAGCTATATCATTATTAGCAATCAATTTAGGCAGCTACTCTATATTACTTTTAGGTGTTTCACATACATTATATTATTTATTCACTTTAAGAAATCTATAATATACATTTAATTAACCATTGTATTAGTGAGAACAATGGGATTCAGGCTGTAGAATACCTGGAGGGAGTCTGAATCGCACTTCATCATAAAAGAGCAAACCAATGCCCAGAGCAGCAGAAGGTGAATGGTAAAATGTGGCATGTTTAGGCAAAGTGAATTTGCAATGCCACTCTATGCCCTGAATCTTGCTTGGCTTCAGCAGGATGTGGAAATTTAAGAAAGCCCTTTGAAATGAGCAAGAAAGGAACAAGGGTCAGTATGTCTGCTAGGAGATAGGCTCTGCACACGATCAAATAAATTCTAAGGCAGAAGCTGAGAGATGGAAAGTGGGAAGCAGATGCCCAGCTGAAGGATAATGGTAAAGAATCACCTAGAGCTGAGGGGCCCTAAGCAGGTTGAGAAGATTGGCCCAGTTCTAAGTAGCAGTCAAGTTCACTATCTATATCAAGAGAACAAAAGCAAGCAAATACACCAGATATCTTGTCACGTAAGTTTCTCCCTACGGCCAGGCACTGAGAAACAAAAGTAAAGAAGATTAGAGAAATATCAAAAAAGAGATAGAACTTACTAAATCCTTAGTGGACCACAAAAGGTTGTTTTGATCTGAAAGAGGCTAACATTCAAGTGATTAAATTAATTTTTCCCACTCCTAGGGAAGACAATGGCAGCTCATAAGCAAGTTAAGTTCCCTAAAGGGAAACAGTCAAATTTCTGCATATTAAATCTTAGATATGTAAATTTTGACAACCCCATCTCCCAATACTTGCATGTGTACTTTCATTCCATGGAAATTGGCTTGGACAAGCAATCAATATTTCTGCCATATCCACAGACATCTTTCTGAGGGATGCTTTCCTTTTGACAGTCCCTGATGAAATAGGAGCTCCCTTACATATGGCTAGAAATATTCTAATGTATGGCCTTGTCCTTGACTTCTAACCAATTATATCAGGACTTTTATCAGACCTGCAAGCTGTTAACTTCTGAGTCAATGGCATGTAAAGAGCCAGATACAAAAGACCTGTACAAATAAACACACTGAGCCAATCAGATGCTCTCACCACAGGATGACAGTTGGATGAAATATCATGGATCAAATGTTTAGTAGAAGTGGAACTGAAAAGACTAGTGGGAGGAAAACAGTATTCAGATCTACTGAGCAATAGAAGTGGTGGTTATGACAGACAGAAGAATAGCTTCCCAAACATCCATATCCTAATCCCCAGAACCTGTTAATATGTTGTTACATAGCAAAAGGGAATTAAGTTTGCAGATGGAATTAAATTTACTAATCAGCTGGTCTTAAAAGAAGATTACCCTAGATAGTCAGAGTTAGCCAGTGGAATCACAAAGGTCCTTAAAAATGGAAGAGGAAGATGTGACTAAGGAAGAGTAAACCAGAGAAATGGCAGCATGAGAAGAAATCAGGCCAACACAGCTGGCTTTGAAGACCAAGGGAAGGAGAAATGAGCCACAGAAAGGACTTCTCATCTCCAGAATTGTAAGAAAATGAATCTGCATTGTGTTAAACCAGTAAGTTTTTAGTCATCTGTCACCATAGCAATAGAAGACTAACATAATGTGTTGCGGGAAGTCAGGGACCCCGAACGGAGGGACCAGCTGAAGTCACAGCAGAAGAACATAAATTGTAAAGATTTCAAGGA